AATAAAACCCTGTATGACCAAAAAAATTTCATCAAAATTGGAAGACATCGATTTTTAAAGTTGGGTCACTTGACACGAAATAACCCATATATTTTCAAAGGAGCAACAGGAACAACATATGTACATTAGGGTGGGCCAAAATGAAAGTTGCTGACGTTCCCACCGAAAATGAAAATTTAGTTCATTCTAAGATACCATTTCTCAAAATATATATTTGGTGAGCTGGATCAAAGTATAAAAAGGTCTTTTATTAAGGTTTTTATAATTTTTATCATATTTCTTGCAAATAAACCATATGCAAATTTAGTATCATATGAGAGGCGATTTTAATGACATAACACAATTTTGTATACAACTCCAAAATTATTACAAATGTCGTATTTTTTATGAAAATTTGTAAGTTTTTCAAAATGAAACTGAAGTTCAAGTATGTTCAACTTTTTTACAGAACTTGAGTCACATTTTTGTACTAAAAATGGATGGAAAATTCATATGTATATGAAAAACTATAAAAAAGAAAGGGATGGATAAAAAAAAAACAAAATTGTTGCCAGCATCGTGAATGTTGCTTAAAGCCAGATTCACAATGCTAGCAACATTTTCACGGGGTGTTCACAATACTAGCAACCAATTCTTTTAAAACTCGCTATTATCTTGCATCACTATTATCACTATTATCTTATATCACTATTTGATCTTGTACACACTTTTATTAATTTTCTAATAGTTTTTCACATAATTTGTATAAAATTTCATTGATAATTTTTGATTTTAAAATTAATATAAAATAAACGTCAATAAATTTTTCATACAAAGGCTGTGTACCAAACGGTAGCAAAGTTCTATGGCAAAATAAAATTTTCTTATGGTGGAAAATATTATCACTTTTGCTGTGCCAAACGAAAACTATTTTGATTACATGAAATTTTGACAATTCTCATTAATTTCACAAGAAAATCTGTATAAAGAAACTTTTATTGATTTTTTTTTATTATTGAAATGAATTTCTTCAATCACAAATGTATTATAGACTAAAATTATAAAATATTTTATTTTTTGGATTTTCAAATTTTTCTTTTCATTTGTCAAAAATTTATGTTCAACTTTTTCACAGAACTTGAGTTAAAGTTTTGTACTAAAAGTTAAAGGAAAATATATGAAAAACAAGTAAGAAATTATAGTCGGGCGAGGCCGACCATATAATACCCTACACCTGTTACAAAAATAAAATGTGATTTAGTTTTCATAATAAAGCATTTAAGTTGACTTGTGTCAGATACATATACTTAAGCCATTTATTGTTGAATAAAATTGTTGACATTTAAGTCAAATTTTGAAGGGGGATTTGTATAGGGGCTATGGTCAAATGAGACCCTATAATTATAAAATTCATGCGAGTCATCAAGGCTAGTATAGTACTTGGTTTTGCAGCTTTTTGTCGAGATACGAGTATATTAAACATAATTATAAACTTAAAATCCCTATTCGTCGTTTTCAGTTGTATGGGGTCTAGGTGAAATAATGGACCGATGTTAACCATTTTCAATAAGCTTCGTCTCCGGTACCATAGAAGATCATGTGCCAAATTTCATTGAATTATCTTCAAAATTGCGACCTGTAGTTTGATTACAAGGTTTATAAGCCCTATTCGGGGGTTCAGTTGTATGGGGGCTAGATGAGAAAATGGTCCGATTTTAACCATTTTCAATAGGCTTCGTCTCTGGGACAATAGAAGATCATGTGCCAAATTTCATTGAATTATCTTCAAAATTGAGACCTGTAGTTTGATTACAAGGTTTACAAGCCCTATTCGGGGGCTCAGTTGTATGGGGGCTAGGTGAAATAATGGACCAATATTAACCATTTTCAATAGGCTTCGTCCCTGGGCCAATAGAAGATCATGTGCCAAATTTCATTGAATTATCTTCAAAATTGCGACCTGTAGTTTGATTACAAGGTTTACATTGTCGGACAGACGGACGGACGGACGGACGGACAGACGGACGGACATAGCTAAATCGACTCAGAAAATGATTCTAAGCCGATTGGTATACTTTAAGGTGGGTATAGGACCAATATTATTGTGCGTTACAAACATCAGCACAAATCCAATATACCCTCCCCACTAAAGTGGTGTAGGGTATAACTATAAAAAGAAAGGGATGGATAAAAAACAAAATTGTTGCTAGCATTGTAAATGTTGCTTAATTGAAATTATTTCATTATAAACATCATATCGTCACCTAAAACGCAAATGACTCTATCTAACATTTTTAAAATTTTACAGGAGAAGCAAAAAACTATTCAAATTGAAAAGTTTATTTCTATCAACGCGATTTATTTGTAGTAAATAAACAAATTGTTTAATAGTGAAACCTATCATATATAAAAATGGATAAATTGGACTTTTTACCTTTTTATTGCTCATTTAAAATAATTTACGAGATGTCAATTAATTTTTTAAAAAATATCATATTTAAAACATTTTATAAATACCCAAAAAAAGATTGAAAAAAAGAAATATACCTGGTATTTACCCAAACATTGGGTAAATACCGGCTAGAATCCCATCTATACAAATTAGTTGTATTCTATAATAATACAATTTCACTTCCGAATAACTTCCAAAAAAAGAGCATAAAAATTTCTTCTTGAGAATGACTTCAGAAGTAGTGAATTTGGAATCAAATAAGGACATCCCTCCTATGACTAGCCTGTGTTAAAATCATCCCTTCATCAGGTTTTTTTCAGTACTTTCGTGGAGTAAATTCTATTTCTTTTTCGCTTCTTTGGAAGTTCTTTTTTTGCTGGGTATATTTGAGAAAATTTAAGGCAAAATTCATTACATATTTCAAGAACCGATGTAATATATTTTCTGAACTGTCAAAGTAAATATGTTTATGGTATATGCATGTGCAGTGCTAACGGTTTCAACATCTTCCATTAAGTGCAGCTGTATCAGTGATTTCATTTGTTTACTTGGCAACCACAAAATGATACTGATCCCCTACCAAAGATTAGATGGATGGTCGAGTATCAGATTGATAATGAAATGCTTTTCTAATAATTTGCATACTTTCTAGTGTAATTTTAATTACAAATATTGTCATTAGTTATCATTGTCATGTATTGGAAACGGTGTCGATTACAATATTTCTAACTGCGCCATCTATTAACGAGTAGTATAGATAAAACAACAACTGTCATCAACAGCTGTCATCGGTAAGATTTGACAATTTGTTTTTCTTCTTCTTGCAATTTTTTAATGTATTTTTTGTGAATTTTCGCTATTGTAGAATAAATTATTTTTGTTGATGATTAATATTTACATAAATTACAATTTGTTTATGAAATAGTGATAAAAATAATAATACACTAGATCTGTGGAAAATAATTGGCCTCATTTATTCTTGTGCACTAAATTGCACAAACACGAATAAATAACAACAATAAATAAATACAAATATTAAGGCAAGTTTAGCAAAGTTTACACAGTGTTTTACTCTAAAATCGATTTGAGACAATAGTGATGGACAGTCAGGTGAGTTTGGAGTAGAGTTTGCTGTTTTTCTTTCGTAGTTTAGTTTAATAATCAATGGTAGATAAACCTAGTGTCTAAAATTGATTGGAACGGTATTTTAGACGAAAAATTAGATTTTTACTTGTAATTAATGAAAACGTTGACGGGTAATATCTTGGATGGGATGATTTCTTTCAGTAATATTTTATTGCATGACCTTGTAATTTATTTTTTATACCTTATAAATATGCAACACCTACGTCATTTGGAACAGAAACATTTTTAGGGACTGTTTCTTAAATGATAGTAGGGGCATATGTACATACATAATCAAATTAAAAAAATTAAAAATGAATTAATTTAAAAATACCTATATAAAATAATAAAAACATAAATGAGATATAAATTTAAAGAAAATATTCCCTAAAAACTTATAACTAAATTTTATATTTTTACAATGTTAATAAATTATGAAAAAATATGTATGTTGAACTCAATTTCTTAATAATCCGAGATATCTTCGTGCTATATCTTTAATAATTCTATAATCGGTCCACAAATAACGGAGAAAATCGGTTAAAATTTCATCATTTTTAATAACACAAAAATTTTATCATATAAATCTAATGTCAGTAGAAAACCTGGATCGGTACATATGTAACTAATCATAGCTTCAATATAAGGTCAACTTTCGATCAAATGAAACATAATTCGAACAAGTAATCAAACAAAATGAAACAATAAATTATTTCAACAACTAATTGTTTTTGTTCATTAGAACATAAAGAATTTAATCCTTTTTTCTAAATTCGCCTGTGAGATGATGTTGTTCTATAGAACAGAGTCTAAAGAAATTCTAAAAGAAAATTTTACCCAAGACATTGATCTATGGAATAGAAACTGGACAACATATAGTAAAGAATAGAATAATATCTAGAGTGGAAACTTTTCTATATATCAGTTAATTATTATTTCTTTATTATAAAGTAAATAATGGAAGAGAAAATAATTTTAAAAAATTAAATGTTTTTAAATACATGTTTTTTAACCAATTACCAACTTTTTCATTATTATTTGTTTGTTTTTTAGTCATAGTACTCTCATTATTAATAAAATATTTTACAATAAAAACAACAAAACTATTTAAATTTTACTAAACAAAAAAGTTGTGAAGTATTTAGATAAAACAACCACTGATACGAAAAGCAAAAGCTCCAAAAAATATTAACAACAATTGAATATTTGATGTACGAGTATTATTGTTAGAAATTATCGCAGTTCTATGTGAAAATGACGTCAGTTGGAAGAGAACAACACGTAAAGTTCAAAACGAAAATCACTGAAAGTAATAATTGCTACAATAAATTATTAAAACACCGACAAAATCAAAATTAATAGACAGTTAATTTAATGAATTACTCACTAAATTTAATCGATTTTTTTTACAATTAAAATAATTGTATGATTTACAGGCACCAGCCGATGGACATTTATTAGATATTGTTGATAATAGGTGGCGCGAGGAAGAATTGCCATTCGATCAGATACTTGTACCGGCTGATAAATTACCTGATCCCGAGGCTGATGGTGGTGATTCCCATTTAACCTTAAGTGAACAGGTAAATTAAATTATTTAACAAATAATATTTAAAATTTTATATATGGAATTGAAATTATAGGAACAAAAATGGACTGATTTAGCATTGGGTTCATTAGCACCTGAATCATCACTAAATGATCAACTAAATTTAACAACATTTTAAATATTATTGAAGAACAAAGTAAAACAAATTTTTGCTTTCTAATTATTGGAATAGTTTAACTTATCCCAAAAATAAAAATATAATAAACAAAATCAAACACTGACAATATGAGTGCAAATCAAAATCTTCATTCGATGACCAAACTCACAGAGTTTGCTCGTGATTTTGAAGAAGAGCCAGAAACATTATTTGGTCGTTTTGTTAATAAAATACAAAATGCTTACAATCAATCATACAATACGGTAAATGATTTATCCAGTGTCAATCCCCCTCAATCGCCCACATCTTCCGCTTCTCCTAATACAACAAAGTCAGTATTTTATGCCGACGTAAATGCCCAACCAGATAATTCAACGATAACTCGAGATAGTTCATCATCTAGTATTAATTCAAATGCTGTGTATCAAACTAAAAGCCATAGCGCTGTTGGCGAAAGTTCATCTAATACGGCAGATGATAGTAGTTCGGTGGGAAAGTGTGATACCTTACCCATGGAAGGACATGAGGGTCGAACTATGGTTAATGTTTTAAAACGCATGAGATCTATGATGGCTTCTAAAAATAATGTAAGAAAATTCTATAACAATCCACTGTCAATTACTTATTTTTCCTATTTAGGATTTGCGTAACTATAAAGACACCGATTTGCATAGATTCTGGATGCCAGATTCTAAAGCCAAAGAATGTTATGATTGCACACAAAAGTTTTCAACATTTCGACGCAAACATCATTGTCGCCTATGCGGTCAAATATTTTGCTCAAAATGCTGCAATCAGGTGGTACCGGGAAAGATTATAATGTGCTCTGGTATGTTTAATTTAACATTCCTATAAAGAATTTTAATATAATTAGTTTATTATTGTTTAGGAGAATTAAAGGTTTGCAACTATTGTTCAAAAATTGTTCTCAGCTATCTACGTTCACCCAACATAACGAAAGATTTAAATTCTGATTTACAAGCTTTACAACAAGATCTAACAAGTAAATTGGAAACAAATAACGATGTTGAGCCGGCAAATTTAATAGCGGAACCAACACGTTCACAATTAGAACGTAAAGTTTCCGTGGGCTATCAAGAGGAACGTTTTGCTGCCCATCAACCTTCCATTAGTTTGACAATGGATGATCGTAAAAACATACTGCAACAATCAAACTCGCTGATTACACTACACGAAGAAATGCGCAAAGTCTTACCAGCACAAAACTGTGGAGTAGAACTGATTGAGTTCCTCAATACTAATCACAAGTCTTCAAACAAAGTACAAGCTGTCGCAATTTTGAATGCTATGTTAGATGCTGGCTTTATACAACCGATTGTCACTGATTCAGAGGAGACAGAATTCGATGAAAATTTACATTATCGTTTTGTCAGCGTGCTACCAAGGTAAACATTTTTATATATTTCTATAGGGTAAATATCATAACATTATTTTTCACAGACAAGCTTTAGAAGCCATAAATTTCATGGAAATAAATCCAACTGAAGAAACTCTTAGTCCGCAGTTTGAGCAATTTGGCATTGAACCACATCCACCTAAATCTCTTGATTCTTCCTTTAATCTTAAATCAACGCGTGATGTAGAATTAGACAATTCTATGCACACTACGACCTCAAAACTGCTAGAATCATACTGTGATCATGAGGAGCAATTGCTAACACAAATGCTAAGGACCTTTCAGTTGGATTTACAATGGGCTAAGGTTCTAAATCCTTTGTGTTGTCGTGCGGCAAATCATTTCAAACCGGAATACTGCACTAATGAGTTAATGGATATAAGAAACTATGTAAATTTCAAGAAGGTGCCTGGTGGCAAGCGTTTGGAGTGCACCATTGTAGGCGGTGTGGTATTTTCGAAGAACGTGGCTCACAAGGACATGGCAACGAGAGTGGAACAGCCGCAAATATTGCTATTACAATGCCCCATTGTTTACGAGCGCATTGAGGGTAAATTTGTAAGTATATCGACTGTTTTATTGCAAGAGAAGGAGTACTTGAGAAACGTTTGTGCGCGTATAATGAGCTTCAAACCCAATGTTGTGTTGGTGCATAAAAACGTTGCCGGTGTAGCCCAGGATATATTGAGATCAAATGGCATTACCTTAGTTTTGGATGTTAAACTTTCAGTTATGGATCGTTTGGCACGCACTTTGCAATGTGATGTTCTCACCAGCATTGAAGGTAACATTTCCCAACCAAAGCTGGGTAAATGTGATGCATTCTATATACGCAACTATAATGATGGCATGGGCGCAACAAAGACATTGATGTTCTTTGAGAAATTACAAAGTCCCAGGGGTTTCACTTGCCTTTTGAGAGGTGGCTCCAATAAAGAGTTGGCTAAAGTCAAAAAAGTTGCCTCATTTTTGGTATATGCACGTTATAATTGGCGTTTAGAAATGTCATTTCTGCTGGATGAGTTTGCTGAACCTCTTACACCCAAACCACCCATATTTGATTCCAAAGAAACAAGTCCTGCTGATGAAAATGCCAATATAAATGAATCCAATATCGATATAATTCAACAGAACAATGATGAAGACGAAGAAGTACCACAATTACGTTCGGCCATTACAACGTCTTCCAATAAACCACGTCCAGTTGTAGCTGAACGCAAATCCGAAGAGAAAATTCTAACCACTGCCACCGATGTATCGGCAGATTTCACGGATCCTCTACGTTCTGCTGAATCTAAAATTTCACCCGACAATTCACATAATCTTCAATTGGCCGTCGAACATCGTTACGATAATCGTTTTCGTAGTGCTCTTAGTTCCACTTTATTATCGGTTAGTCCATTCCTTACGTTTCCCTTGCCCTACTTGGAAACCGAACAGGGTCGCAAGTGTCCATTGCGTATTTTATTTCCCGCTGAATTATACTATTCGAAACTATGGTCGAATGCAAATTCAGCAAATTACAATTATGAACGCTTGGAAAGTGCCGAAATAATTCCAACTGATGTTGAACAATTAGAACTGAATCCATCGCATGAGTTCCTTAAACTAAAAATAACCACACCCATTGATAATCGTGAAATACAAACTCTGCTGGCAGAGTTTAGAGCGTATGGTGGAAAGTATCCGAAAAGACCAAGATGTAAGTATATCGAAGTTATCTATAGACGCATTATTTTGCTTTATTAAATAAGATACTTTTGTTAATTCAAAATACATACTTCAAGATACTTTTGTTAATTATGTATATGTATTCTTCTCAACTTCTAAATCAATTTTGTTGTTTTAAAAGCGAAAATTTTCCATTTCCATTATAGTTGGTAGCATGATTACTAAAACAAACTTCTCTTTTTTCTTATATTTAAAGTATTCAAATTCCTTAAAGGACGCAAAGAAGTTAAAAGTCAAATGTCACAAAAAGTTCAAGAGGAAAACGTTTACAAGGATGCATTAGATATCGAAAACCACCAACGATTACCAGTATTATTTTGTAGTTTCTTTTTCAATCCAAAAGGTGCATCGTCGTTTTGTGCCCCACCAACACTATTGGATATGAAATTCTATGGCCAGCAAGATATCATGTTGGGCCAGTTCTTACAACGTTATTGCTGTCGTCTATCGTCGATATGCACACGATGCAACCTACCGATGCTGGGTCATACCAGACGTTACGTACACTCAATGGGCTGTGTTAAAGTGTTCTTAAGCGAAGACAATACCAAGTCAGATCTAAATAGTATATATTTTACAGCCTGGTGTAGTATATGTAATGAGGTTACACCCAGCGTTCCACTTTCGGAAACTACAAAATGTCTGTCGTTGGCTAAATACTTGGAATTGCGTTTCCATGGTCATGCCTATAGGAAACGATCGGTAGCGGATGAAAGCGGTTTAGGGGCTAAAACCAAATGCCAGCATTCTTTGCATCGTGATTATGTCCATCAGTTCAGTTATCGTGGCGTGGCAGCTAAATTTCAATATACTCCCTTGGAGACTTGGGAAATTGCTTTGCCATTACTCACCTTGAATTTACATCCACCCAAGGCATTTAGTCGTTTTGAAGTTTTGGAAGAAGTTAAAAACTTTTCTATGAAAGGCCATGAAGTTTATACACGTATACACGAACGCATAGCCGATTTGGCTACAGAAGATGAAAACTCACCTTTAGTATCTAGTTTAAAAACGATTTTAAGTAAAGATCAATTCATTTTCAAACAGCACGTGGAAATAATACAAACTTTATTAACGGAAAATAAGGCCAGTCCCTATGACATAAACGATGCATTATTAATGTCCAAAAGGGTCTTGGCCGAAAGTATAGAGCAATGGGGACCACGTCTACACGAAATGGCAGTAGCTCAAAAGTTGGCAGCTAAACAAGGACATGATTCAGGACACCATCAGGCTGTAGATGCTGGTATGATTTGTACCGAAGATCTGCGTTCAGAACATTCCGATATTTCGCCAACTGCAACACAAACTCCGGATACCCCACGTCTTTTAGGAAATGAAGATACGCTAGATACTACTTCCAATACGAATGAAACACCAACTAGTGCTACAGACAAGAGTTCAACAGATTCGCATTTTGTTATGCCCTCAGTAGCGACAACAACAGTACCTCCTTCGTCCGATAAGAAAACGATCAAAAAAATGCTTACCCAATTATTACCCTCAACAGGTCCGGTTAATCTTTTACAATCGCCTTTTAGTAATTTAGAACATTATACTCTACCATTGGGCGCATTCCCAATGGTGGTACATGATCATGATTTCAGTTCCATAATTGCTTATTGTTTGACTTCTCAGGAATACAAACGGATATTGAGTGTTTTAGCTAATCAACAGAATGCGGCTGATACCACGTCGATTTCTAGCAACTCGGGAGTTAATGTCAATCCGAGTCCTCATGTTAAAAGGAAATCACAAGAAAGGTAAGATTTTATAAATTTTGTTCTTCATATTGCCAAGCTCAAAAGAGTACTTTCAAAAATGCCAAAAAAACAAATTGCCTCTGAAAAAGCTGGTAAACTTCGAACTAACTCACCACAAGTTGAAAAAAATGGGAATAGAAGGACGTTGCTAGAATACCCATATTTCATTTCATTCACAAGTGACAAATACATTACAATTTACACTAATAATACGGCACGAAGGAGCGGACCCTAAAATGCATTTAATTTTGTGACGTAAAAATAACTTTTTCTGTTAAAAAAATAAACATTACAATTTAAAAAATGAAACACAAAATATTCCTGTCCAAAGTCGGGAATCGAACCCAAGAATATAAATTATAAGCAATTCGACTAAAATTAAAAATACTTAAATTATTTTATTTCATTATTAACAGTAGCAACGATGCCGATGACAATGGCAAAGAAAATAACACACCACCACCATCCGCCACAACGAATAACAATCAAGAAGAAGATCGCTCCAAAACAAAGACGAGCAATTCTCATATAGAAATATCTTTCCAAGATAACAATACACAATTTACATGTAAAATGTATTTTGCCAAAGAATTCGATCAAATGCGAGCACGAACAATAAAAGCTCCCAAGTTGGATAAATCATTGTACCGAGAAATCGAACAGAGTAAAAAGCGAGAAGAACTTAAGGTATCCCAAAGTAAAAATGGACCCGAAATAGAATTAGTGCGTAAACCCAGCGATGCTGGACAAAACAATACATTGGCCAGTGATTATAAATGGGAAAACTATAGTAGTAACAGCAACACAAGTAATAAAGATGACAATTCTCGTGGACAAGTCGATGCAACTGAAGAATGTCGTTATTATTTTGCACGTTCTCTATGCAGTAGTGTACAGTGGGAAGCCAAAGGTGGAAAATCAGGATCTCGTTTTTGCAAAACTTCCGGTAAATTTAAACTAAAAACATTTAATACTTAACATTTATTTATGCATGAGTTTTTCTTGTTTGCTTTTCTTTTTAGATGATCGTTTCGTTTTGAAAGAAATGACCAAAAGTGATATAAATAGTTTTGAAAATTTTGCGCCCAACTATTTTGATTACATAAGCAAATGTCAGCAACAAAATCAACCTACCTTATTGGCCAAAATCTTTGGCGTTTTTAAAGTAACCATAAAAAAGAAAGAGTAAGTTTTACTGGTTCCATTTATTATACTCTTATGGATTTTAATTATTTATTTTTCAGTTCATTTGTTGAAAAATCTTTGCTGGTTATGGAAAATCTTTTTTATGAATGTGATATTAAAAATAAATTCGATTTGAAAGGTTCGGAACGCAATCGCTTGGTGGATCCCATGAATCAACAACAAGGAGATATTGTTTTACTAGATGAAAATTTTGTACAAAGTATTTATATTAATTTAAATTATTAACTTTATGTTATTTAGTTTCATATTATTCTTTTCTAAGTGTCTTGGCTGAAACCCCTATATATTCTAACACACAGCAAAGTGGTTTTAAAAGATGCCATTAATCGTGATGCCTGTTTTTTGGAAAAGAATCAGGTTATGGATTATTCTTTACTGGTGGGCCTAGATGAGAAGAACGGTGTTTTAGTATTGGGTATTATTGGTATGTAAAAATCTGGTTTATACTCTTACTACCTATATATCTATATTTTTTATGCATTCTATTTTAAAGATTACATTCGTACATTTACCTTCGATAAGAAAGTTGAATCTTTTGTTAAACAAACGGGTATATTGGGTGGCATGGGTAAATTGCCCACAATTATACCACCAGAACGTTATAGATTACGTTTTGCCGATGCTATGGATCGTTATTTCTATACAGTGCCCGATCGTTGGGAAGGTCTATCGAAAATTTGACATTTAAATCTTTATTAAAGTAAAATTCTATTACACTATATCAATATGGTATTAAAATGGAAAATACTTAAAAAATATTTAGAAGTTGTACTTGAGTTTGTGAAAACCAAATTTTGATTTAATAATTAACTATAATTATTTATAATTTTTATGTTTTGAAAATAAAAAACTGTTTACAGATATTGTCAGTGTTTTAAAATTGCAACAAATAAAACAAAACTAGCACTTTGTTATATACTATATCATTATGATTGTTTTTTCTCCTATATTTTTTTTAATGTTTTGAGAAATAGAAAAAAATAAATTGTGAAAGCTTGCAATTATTATTATTATTTTTTTTTTTTTTCGAAAAATTTATTTTTTTTCCTAGACAAATATTAGTTTATAAAAAATTATTAGTTTTAATAAGAAATTGTTTTTGTGTGAAAAACAAAAGTATTATACAAAAGAGTTTATATTTCATAAAAACTACAAGGCTCCGTGTTTTCCTAAGGCTATATAACAAACCCTTTCAAGACATTACGAAAGGAGCAAAATCCTGTATCTATAAGACCCAAATACAATAACACATTGACAAGAACCCAATGCGTGACGTTAGTACGCTTAAGGGTGGGCAAAGCTATTTTCAACACTAAACACTATTTTGAGAAAAAGGAGCCCCCTAAATGTACTCTATGTGATACAATACTTACAGTTTCTCATATACTTGCCGAATGTCCGGAGTCCAAGATCAATGAACCACTGGAACGTATTCTTAACTGTGAAGATGGATCTTTTCTGGCCGCAATACAAAAAAGTTTACGAAAGCACAATATTGATTTCGAAATTTAAGATTTTTTTTATTATTATTTAAACCCAATGAGAATTTTATTAACTTCTATTTTTTTTAATTGTATTTAATTGATTTTTTTATTTTATTTTTTTTGCTTTTGGCGTTATTTAAAGCCAAATATTTTCGAAAGTCATTTTTTTTTTGTTTTTGTTAAAGTATTGATTTTATATTTTTACCAAAATTAATTTTGAACCAAATTTATTATACTCATTCCTTGTGTGATCGTTCGCTTGTAAAGACGTGTTATATTGTATCGGTCTCTATATTCTGTCTCTTTCGTGCAAGTGTCTGCGTTTATACTTATTTTTTTGTGTGAAATACCGTTTTGTCGTATACAGTTATTTTTTGGCGTCTGTTTACTGGTTGAAGATTATAGAACACATTTTTATTCACTAAATTTTTGAAATTTCATCATCATCTTATCATCAAATTCATTCTTGGAACATTGAAAAGTTAACTGGGCCTTGAAAAGGGGGAGAAGGATGGCTACGTCCGGGGGCGTCGGCCCGCCGGAGATTGACGATGACCATGGGAAGCGTATGAGGTTATCTGAGGAAGAAGCAAATCAAATGGAGGCTGACATGGAAGAGCCAGGTAAGTCGGATTCGGCCATGACAAATATTCGGACAGATATGAGAGTAAATATTGATTCGGACATTGAGAAAAATAGGGAAAAGACTTCCAATACTTCTGTGGATTATTATTATGATGTTGAGCATAAGGGCCCGTTTATAGTATATGTTGATTTATATGACGATAAAGGTATGAGGAAATACCTTAATGCCATATCAGTTTGCAAGATAATTATGGATCTCAAAATTGAGAATGTTGAGGAGGTTTCAAAGATTGGCTTCGGCAGATGCCAAATTACCTTCAGAAATTACCTAGCGGCGAACAATTTCGTAAAGGATGAACGTATTATTCAGAAGGGCTTGGATCCCAAAATTTTAGCTCATTTTGTCTCAAAGGCGGGAATTATATTTGACATCCCATTAGACATCTCTGAAGAAGAATTTTTGGAATCGGTTCAGTCACCGATTGAGATAATCAAGGTGATAAGAATCTCTAGAAAGAGGAAAAACTCTGATGGTGCCACCGAACAAATTTATTCCAAGAATATGAAGGTTATTTTTAAAGGTACACAGATCCCGAAGGAGATAAATTATGGCTACACTAAAATCAAAGTTAGTTACTACATACCTTTTGGTCAATGTTATCGTTGTTATAGGTTCAACCATTTTGCTCAACACTGCAAACAAAATTACGAACTATGTCGAAAATGTTTTAGACAACATACTATTGAGAACAACTGTTTGGATTTGAAATGTTCAAATTGCAAAGGTAACATCCCCCCTACTTTCAAGGACTGTCCAGCCAGATCCAAGGCATATGCAATAAAAAAATTGATGACGTTAGAGAATTTAACCATACAAGAGGCAAGAACAAGACTATCAAATGTGTATTCAAATAGATTTGCGATCCTTGAAAATGCAGAGGATTTCCCCCCATTAAGATCAAAAGACACTAATATTACTAACCTGGACAAGCATCAGGAGGCAAATAGAGATACATAAATTACTACCTTACTCAAAGGCCATTAAGTTAAATGGTAACAAAGAACGTGAAGAAGCTAATACAAGAAAAACTAACCAGGAATATCAGAAGGTTTTGAGTCAACATAAGATACAAATGCCCTATAATCGTCAATCGAAGGCATGTAATCCACACACACGACCAAACACCAGCAAGAAGGGTGGAAATGAACAGTTAAATTTAGGATCCTCTGATACACAGGACAATCATGGAAAGGCCATTGATATTTTATCACAAGTCTCCAGAGACACAACTAACATAATTACAAATTGGACGAACGGGAAAGTAAACCCGGATCAAATGAGAAGAATTTTAATTAATATGAGAGAGAACATTAACAAAGGGATGAATTTTATTGATGCAAATAGGATATATGAATCAATAATAATGGAAAAATTTTAAAATACCAATCATCAAAATGAAGCTGCTTCAATTCAATATACAAAGTTTGAAGAAAAAGGGGAATAAGGAACTGCTGGAAATATATATGAGAAGTAATAATATTGATATCGCTATCCTGTACGAAACGTGGCTGCAGAACAACGCGTGCACTAGTTTAAATGATTATAATTTTTTTGGCAAATACAGAAATGATGGTTTTGGAGGTGTAGGTTTCTACATTAAAAAATCTATTAAATATGTAATAAACACCATTGACACAAACCTTGATTCTCTCTCTATTTCTACTACAAATTTGAAATTCAATTTAACTATTATAGTAAACTATAGTCCACCAAACTTGAGTATCGAAGATTTTGCCTCAGAAATGAGACGGATCTTTTTGTTCGGGCGTGCTCAGAAAAATCTGACTCTAATATGTGGTGATTTCAACGCAAAATCCAACCTCTGGGATGTAAACTCGGAGGACGGGAAAGGCAGAGTCTTAGAAGACTTGAAGAACCTCTCAAACTTTACTTGTATGAACGACGGATCTTTTACGTATTCTACCACCAATTCTAATTCTTCAACACTGGACGTTACCTTCTGCAACAGAATAGATGACAAGATTGTTTGGAGGGCAATCCCTACTAAGATCACTGGCAGCAACCATTTTCCCATAATCATAGATCTAAACTACTCATCAGACTTTATCAATAAAAATAAACTACTTGACAAAACCAATTTTTATAGGGAAATTGGAAAATTAAGAGTTGAGGGTGATATTAACGAGTTTCAAAAGAGCGTCGAGAGTTTAAGAACCAAGAACACAATCCACATCTCCAACAAGAACAAATATAGACCTAAAAGCTGGTGGAACCTGGATGCAAACAGACTCTTTAGTTTGAGAAATTTATTGAGGAACAGATTCTACAAGAGTAAAAAGATAGAAGACTATAACAAATACCAGGAAGCGGATAAACAACTCCATTATCACATTGAAGAGGGGAAGAGACAAGCCTTCTATGAACTCTTGGATTATATTTCGCACCCTTCATCCATTAAGGAAATGTGGAAAAAGTTGGCTAACTTAAAGAAATACAAGCAAACTAAGAAGAGTAATAATTCGTGGAGCAAAGATCAACATAAAGAGTTCCTTAACATGATAGCCATTCAGGATCGCGATGTATCATCTAACGCAGCTGCGATTGATAACAATTCGGTCATCCCTGGTCCAAATATTCCCTTACTATCCTTCGACGTTTTCGACAACTATATCAACTCCCGAAATCCGGACTCGGCCAAAGGGGACGATGGTATTTCATACCGAATTTTGATAAACTTGGACTATGATGGGAAAAGAAAGTTATTTGAACTGATTAAAACAAATTGGGAAAATGGTACTATACCTGATAGCCGGAGGAGAATAATTATTTGTCCTGTCCCCAAGAGAAACAAGGATTGTTCCTTGATACAAAATTACAGACCAATCTACTCTCAGTATTATTTAAATGTCTTGAGGCTATGGTAAAACCTCACATTGAAGAGTATATTAACCAGGAAAACATTTTGCCAGATAGATCCTATGCTTTTCGAAAAAAAAGATCGACCGCGCAATGTATTGGCCCAAGGCAGTTCCTTATCCCCGGTGCTATTTAATATATTCACAAGTAAACTTCATAACATTGCAAATGGTAGAACATTCATATATCAATTTGCAGACGATTTTTTTATAATTTGTATTGACAAACAATTTGAACCCGCTAGACAATTACTCTTGGAAAAACTTAATGATTTTAAGTCAGCCTGTAACAATCTTGGACTTTCGTTTAATTTTGATAAAACTAAGGCTATTCACTTTAATAATAGACCTAAAACACTTAACTTAAAAATAGACTCCAAATCTATTTTGGATGTCAATTCGATTAAATATCTCGGTAGGACAATCGCTCACAATAACTCCTCGATGAACCACATCAAATCCACATTCAACAACATCGACAGAACATGCAACTTCTATCGTCTGCTCAATCATCGAAACAAGGGAATTGAACCCCAGAGGGCACTTCAAGTATACCGTTCGTTCATCAGACCTCGTATAGAGTATGCCGTTTCGTCATTTTCTAATCTTGGAAAAACAGCTTTGAACTTCATAACATCAAAAATTAATATGTTCTTAAGACAAGCTCTCGGTCTTTTAAAATCTACACCTGTCCACATACTTTATAATCTCGGCGTCGAACTGCCTCCTAAGTATCGATTTATTTTGGCCACCGCTAGGGTAATACTTAAGACCATCGTGTACAAACTTCCGATTTCTAATTATCTTGATGAACTGGAGGGTGTTAATATGGGAGTTGCCTCAGTTTTTCATCAATATAAATTCATTTTTGATAACGTCGGAATTCTGAGTAACAATCTGGGAGACGTTGTTAACATCGACTTCGATTTCAACTTCTTTAAGGGAATATGTGAAAGGAAAGATCAGGCTAATCCTGAAATTGTAAACAGCATCTTTCTGGAGAAACTTTACACTTATCAACAGGACAATTATGAAATCATATTCACAGATGGCTCTGTAGCCACTAATTTTACTGGTTTCGCCTTCTATCATTTGGGATCCAATTCGACAGGCTCTGGTTTTTCACATAAAATTCTTTCATCAACTTCGGCCGAATTGATTGCTATGGAATTAGCGATAGATTTCGCTATCCAAAATGGCTTCAGGAAATTAGCCATTTTTACTGATTCCAGGGCCAGCATGTTTGCACTAAAGAATAAAAATTCGGATAACTACTTAATCGAGAGAATTCTAGGCAAAATGAACAAGACCGTTTTTGAAAAGCTATCGATAATTTATATTCCCAGTCATAAAGGAATAAACGGAAATGAGAGAGCAGATAATACGGCACGTAATGCAAGGAGAATGGGCCCATTGATGCAAATTCCTTGGCCCCTGAAAGATGCCCTAGCAGTTATTGAGTCCATGCTCAAGGGAGAATGAAGCACTGAATATGATCGTATCAAACACTCCAAGGGCGTTGAATTTGGGAGTCTTTTTCCTAGGACTCTAAAAGACTATTGGACAGTGGACAATGACATTGACCCAACTAACAGAAAGGCCGCCGACTTGAGGATGGCAAACAGAATTTTGTCTGGTCACACTTATTGTGGACTAATCCTGAATAAAATGGGAGTTGCAAACTCTGCTATGTGCGAAAATTGTGGTGTTCTAGAGGATTCCTCACATATCATTTTTTCATGCTCCAAATACTCTTCTCAAAGGGTAAATTTTTCTAAAATTGGTGAATTCGATCACTTAATCGAATTTTTGAATACAGAGGGAATGAGGGGAATATTTTATATAATCGAATTTTTAAAATCTATTAACGTGGAACTATAAACTATAATCGGCAAACGAGACACTTGTTTTGATCAAATTTTACTATTGAAAACGTAGCTACTATTAAATAGCTGAAAATTTGAGTTGGCGTTGTGTAAACTAATTACGGGCCAAATAATTCTTAGTTCTCTTGTTTATGAGACTAAGTAACTTAAAAAACAAACAAACAAACAAATTTATTATATTATGAACTTTTTATGTGCATATGGTCTAGTTACCCGGCGCATTAATTTATAAACTACATTTGAAATAAATAAATAAATTTCATAATAACTGTATTTTAAATATTATTCAATACATTCCTTTAATTCTGCTTAAATTTTTAAATGTTGCAACAGTGGCGATTAAAGTCGACATAAAAACTATTTTAAGCGGCACGGCCACACATCAAATTTGTTTGACTCAAACGTTAATTTTTTGATTGTGTTAGTGAAAAAACTCACATGTATATTAGGGTTCTATAGTTGAAACGAAAAGTCGACTTTTCGACATTTAGACTTTTTGCATTTAGTTAAAAGTCGACTTTTCGACCTTTCGACTTTTTCCATTTTATGAAAAGTCGATTTTTCGACTTTTCGACCTTTTTCATTTATTTAAAAGTCGACTTTTAGACTTTTCGACTTTTAGTATTCTATAAATGGTCGACTTTTCGACCTTTCGACTTTTTCGGACTTTTCGACTTTTTCCGACTTTTTTCGACTTTTTCCGACTTTTTTCGACTTTTCGACTTTTTTCGACTTTTTCCGACTTTTTTCGACTTTTTTCGACTTTTCGACTTTTTTCGACTTTTTCGACTTTTTCCGACTTTTTCCGACTTTTTTCGACTTTTTCCGACTTTTCGACTTTACGATTTTTTACGACTTTTTGACTATTTTCGACTATTTTTTTACTTTTTTCGATTTTTTCCGACTATTTTAGAGTTTTTGACCTCTTTTCCACTTTTTTAAAATTTTCGACTATTTTCGACTTTTCGACTTTTTCCGACTTTTCGACTTTTTTCGACTTTCTTCGACTTTTTTCGACTTATCGACTTTTTTCGACTTTTCGACTTTTTTCGACTTTTCGACTTTTTTCGACTTTCCGACTTTTCGACTTTTTTCGACTTTTATTTACAAAGTCGACTTTTCGACCTTTTTCATAGACGATAGTCGAGTTATCGACTTTTTTGGAACAAAATAGTCGACTTCGACTTTTCGACTTTTTTCGGCAAAAAGTCGATTGTTCGATTATTCGAAAGTCGATTTATAGAACCCTAATGTATATATGCACAATTTGATGTGTCGCCAAAGCGCTTTAACTGACATTTACTTTATATTTCGTAAAATTGCCGTACACTGTTGCCAATTCAACTATTTTCTAGTGAAATATAGCGATTTTTACCTCATTTTGCAGGCAAAACAAATCCCGTCATTTTGTTTTAATATAACGACAGTAATGTAATTTCTTTAAATTTAAATGTTATAAATTACAGCTGCAAAAGTATAAATTTGTTTTTGTTTTTCAAAATGATTTCGATGAAAACATTCAACTTGAATGGATAGCCTACAGTTATATTTGCAAATCTTCTTCGAAAAAATACATTTTCGACATGTTTTAAATCAAATCTGTTTTCCAGATTAGGAAGATTAGGATTTGTAAAAAATATATGGCGAATCTATATGATTTCTACTAGTTTTCTTCAAATCAAAAAAAAAAAAAAAAAATGCGTTATATGAAATGTTTGTTACTCAGTACAACTAGCAGTTTCCCATTCCGATTCATGACAAGTTATTTACTACAATGTTTACATATAGATTTTGGAATAATGTGAAAAATCAGAATAAATATCGCTATTTATACCCTACAACACTTTAAGCCACCTTCACACGAGCACACAAGTAATATGATTTGTCAAAATTTTGTGTAGAAGGAAACGGATGGTATCGTCTAAACGCAATATGTGAGAAAATACGGATGAAAAATTTGACAGTCGTATGACTCATTTTTTGAAATGATTCAAAAAACAAGCAGGTCGCATTAGATCAGGGATGTATTTTTATGTAAACACATACAAAAAAGTGAAACAGCTGTTTTCATCTTACTTTGTTATTGTTTTATACCAATCGTGTAAAGACTACGTCTGTAGGGCCCTTTATTGGGGTGGGTATATAGTATATAAAATTGTTCTGTAGATTTATTACATTATTTTTAAATATATTTTAAATGTAGCTATTTTTCAGTAAACTTTAGCGATATTTTTGGCGGAAAAAGTTGGCAACAGTGTTGTCATCTCTAAATTAATAAACATACTGGCATCACTATAAATATGGCGTCGAAAATAAGTTGCAAGAGATTTTTTTAATTACTGCATTTATATCGAAATTTTAATAAAAAAGTTATAGTTTCATATGTAAATATTATAAAAAAGTGAACAAATAAAATATTGTTTAAATAATTACTAAAGTTATATTAAAGAAAATTGGAAATTATAGTAGATATGGAGAAAAAAGGAAAGGAAAAATGTTAACATTTCGCAAATTGCAATAAACGAATGAATAGCTCAAGGACCCAAAAGTCAAAAACAGAAAATACTGCGGCAACAAAAAAAAAAAAACGACAGCAACAAAAAAAAAAAAAGAAAGAATAAAACAACTTTTTACCAAGACAAAGCGGCTGCGAAAGATGGAAAAGAAAGGCACTTAAAAAATCCAAGGCAGGTGTACGACGGCGACGTTGGCGCTACGAAATTAACTAGAATTAATTAGTTAAAAAATAGAAAAAATTACACTACACACACTTACAAGCAGCGAATCAATTAACAAAAGAAAAACAAAATTAGTGTCATTTTAATAACAAGTCAATTGAAATGATCTAGTAATTCCAATAAGAAAACACGCAGAGTTGAAAATAAATGCAATAAATAAATATAACCCACTAGAAAGTTAATAACACTTATAACATGAGCTCTTCCATTGTGACAGCTAATACTACTGCACCTGTATCTGCCATGGCTACTGCGGCTACAAATTTAATAGCTTCATTGCCAGGTTCCCGTCCACAAACACAACAGCCAACCCCCACTGTAGCTGGAGCTATTATGCCAGCTATGAATGCACAATTTCGTGAAATTCACAAAAACACCTGGCTCAAACGTTTAACGGCAGAGGGCAAAAAGGTCTGTGTTGGGCCAAAAGTAAGTTTGTCAATTTTATTCTGCTCAAGCAAATCATAAACGGAAAGCTTACAATTTTCATTGAATTTCATTTAGAAATCTGAACGCAGTTGGGTTGTATTTTGTGTACACGATGATACTGAAGCACTATTGGAAGGTTACGCTGAACCGAGACAGGCTCCATCACACAATCCCGAATGGATTGTATCCATGCAGGATACATTACATATTTCTCACGCACTAATTCCAAATTCACATGAATTCGAATTTGTTGTCACGCTCAGCAATGAAGTGGTGCGTTTTCACGCTATGTCATGGTAAGTTGAACAATGCTGGCTTAACATCTATCTATTTGGGGGGAAGGTTTGCAACTACTAAATTGTGGTGTTATTCTATGGATGGATAAGGATAACCTAACGTTTTTTTAAGATTTTTACTATTTTCGGCAAATGTAAATAATGTTATCTTTGTAAAGTTTTCTCATGTTTTTAAAATCTTTAATATAAAAAATAAGTAAACAAAAACGAGACTTTTTAATTTGGAAACTTCCCATTCGAATTAGTCCATTGGCCTACTGACTGACTGATTGCTATTAGTTTTGTTGTTATATTTTACTTACAATTTTTAATGTTTGTTTTGCTTAATGCAGCCCAATTACAACATTCCCCAACAACATCAGTATTTTATTTAATAATTTCTATTACACTTTTAATAACTACAGTTCGTAACTTCAATAATTTATCTATTTGTTATTGTTTTATGAAAATATCCAGGGATATTATGCAAGAATGGGTCGAAACATTACGGTCAAAATTAAGAGAAATGAAAATACTTTCACCTCGTGAAAATCTCTATACAAAATTACCAGAAGTAAGGGCTCCCCTATTGCCAACAAGAGATCCCACATCCCCATTACCAGCACCACCACCGGTGCCTGCAGCCATAGTACCCGGTGTTGAAAGAGTTATACCTCCTAGTGTTCAGCAGCAACAGTCCACAACAGCATTGGAAACAAATGAAACAAGGAATTCTCTCAACAATACAGCCACATCTTCTTCTCCTATAACAAGTGAATCCAATAGCATGGAAACAACAACAACCCAAGCCACTTCTTCTACGGCAGCTAATACAACTATACAAACATCATCATCTTCAACTACCACTTCAAATATAACAGCAGCTGTGCCGCATTTAACTTCTATGTCAAATACTCTAACACAAAATCTTTTAAATATGCTATCGGATCCCATTAGTGCTTATAGTGAACAATTAAATGATGCTAATTCCTCTTCATCCTCTATAGAACCAGATGATATGGTTACAGGTTCATCGACTCTATCTTTGGCCATGGAACGTGATTTTAATTTTAGTGATTGTTCAACGGAGGAGGAATTTATAGGTCCATTATTACGAAAACCCAGTGCAAATACCAGTGATATTAATGGAAGTTTTACTAACAACAGTGTACGCTTAGATGTTTTAGCGGCACATCGCGCTTCTGCAGGTTATTAGTATTTTTTATTTTTTTATTTTATATTTGATATTTATATATTTTTTTAATTTCAGATCAAATAAGAAATTTAGAAAATATATTACAGTGTGAACGTTATATACCAAGGTGAGTAAATTCAATAATTTAAAAAATTTTTGAGGTCTGCGATTGCAATGCCCATTATCAATTTCTCAATAATGATGACTTAAATAGATGATATTTACATATGCGGAGGCAGAAAATGTATTACAAATTACTAAGTGTTGAATAACCATAATCTAGCAGTAGAAGAATGCTAGATTAATTTCCCGTTACTTAACATTTTTGATATTACAGCTGATCTGTAAGGTATCTGAATTTATGAATTTAAATGCTACACTGAAAATAATCCATGCCTAATATACACGAAAAATGTTGTACATTGTACGAAATGCTTCGTGGTTTCGCACCACGAAATTCTTTCGTAATATATACGAAATTGTACGAAATATTTTAGTAAAATGCAAAATAATTTTATATTATTTTAGAAAAAAAAAATTTGTTCATTTTACGATTTTTTTTAAAGACATAAATATGTTATTTCTTTTAAAATAATTTTTGTAAATTTAGAAAAAGATTGCGAATTAAAAAAACATTTTTTTATGTTAAAAAAAAAAACATAAAAAATTTTACAGGAAATTAGGCAGCCTGTAAATTTAATATTACGTTTAATTTAACTCGTACTTCGTTTTCGTACTTTCGTAAAATTAGAAAAGGGGTTGATTAAACAATATTTCGTATTATACACGAAATTTTTGTATATATTACGAAAAAAGTAGTTACGAAATTTTCGTAAAGTAAGGCATGGATTGTTTTCAGTGTAGCTTTAAAGAAGAAATAGTTTGAAAGGAGGATGTAAAGGGGTAAAATGTTTGGATGTAATTATTCGGATATAATATTGCCTAATGAATTTAGATTTTGGGCTAGAATTCTGAGTTTATCTGTGTCGTTTGAATAAGAAAAACAATTGAAGGTCATTTGATCTAAAAATATATACATAATTATTAATAGAAGCAATCGATAATTTTAATTATAAAAACAAATTAACATTTCCTTTGAATGCAAATAATTAAACATTTAAAAAAATCTCACATAAATAAAAGATTAATACAAATTATACTAAATTATATTAAATCACCATTTACAATATTTTGATATTTTTCCTCAAGTGTTTTCAAAATTTCCCAACCTTCTATCTTATCAAATTCATTGTGATAGTTAATGAATATTTGTCGTAACATTGAAAAACAATTAAGTTTAGCTAATTTTAATTGCAGTTTATGTGCTTGAGTTTGAATAGTTAAACGTTGTTCGTATTTTTGTCGCAGTTTCGTTTTGTTTTTCACAAATTTACGACAAATATGACGAGCTATTACATCTTTGCGTTTATCAAATTCACACTTAAAATGTTTATGCAAAATATATTGCAAATCCACATCATATTTACTTATAATATCCATAAATTCTTTATCATTTGAGAATTGTGCAAAGATTAATTGAAAGAATTGAAATTGTGTTTTTATCATGCCATACTGTTCCATGTCTAAGAGTTTTTCTCTTATTCTTTCCAATAAGGATTTTTTCATATTGTCTAACATTTCTTCAAATGTTTCTCTTTCGAGGCGAAACTTTTCGGCAATTTCCTTAAGTTTAATATTTTCAATTTGTTTTTCGGTCAATTGCAAACGTAGCGTTTGTAATTCACGTGTTAACTGAGTTGTTTCCGTTTTTAATTCAATATTTTGACTTTCATTTAACAGTGTGCTCATATTTTGTGGTTGCTCAAGAGGAGGAAAAGGTTCATCGACTATTGCAGTGTTTAAGCAATGTGACTTGAATGTATCGTCACTTAGGCTAGGGAAACTTCTACTACTCAAATTACTGCTCAACTGATCATCTAGCTCACGTAAAACACTTTCCAAATTACGATTGCAATTTTGTATATTAGTGAACGGCTCCTGTAGACAATTGGCTTCTTTGATTTGTTGTTGCATCAAAGTGCATAAGCAATTTCTAGCCATTTTCTCTGTTTTTGACGTTCGATTGAATACTTTTAGCCATTTGCGACATATTTCAATATCATTAGGTTGCGCACTCTTAAATACCAAATCTCTTAATTCGGATAATTGTTCTTTATACAGTTGATCTAATGTATCTGATTTTAATTCATAATCATTGGATTCTTTGCTATTAAGATCATCATCTGTAAATGGTTTTATTTTATTAAATTCCATATTTTTATAAAAATATAAATATTTGTCGTTTTTTCACAAATAAAACTGATTGAAAAATCAAAATAACATATTTGTATTTCGAAAAGGATAATTGTATTGTATGTATTATGTAGTGCTGTCTATGTGATTTTATCGGGTCATTTATGATTCACAAGTAATCGTGATTAACTTATTAGATATTAGATAATTAGAATCCGTTATCTAAAAGGAATCTTTATTTATGATCAAAAGTATATGAATACAAGGGTCGAAACAATAGGTTTTTAGTTAATTTAATATTCGAATATACCAATTAAAACTTGGCGATTAAGTATACTGTATGATGCACTTTCTTTTAGACCACAAACATCTCGCTCCCTATCCGCTGGAGCTGTAGACAAATCTAAAAGACAAAATATTAATCAAAAAGTTGAAGCTAGTAGTAAATTATCATCCCTAATGGTTGCCAATACTAGTAGTAAGGGAAATAACATAACAGAATTAGAAGTTAATTCGGAAATTTCAACACCATCATCAACATCCAATGATAACTCCTCGAATACGAATATTACAATAATACAAGTATCAACAGAAAATCGAAACGATAAGACAACGGCAACCAGTGCTGGAGAAAATAATTATGAACCACCAAAATTGCCACATAAAACAATAACGTCAACCGGAGCGACAGCAGATATATTTAAATTTCCCGATGCCCATGTATCAATCACAAAAAATATAAAACATCATGAATACAAAAGTAATGTACAAATAATTCCGTCCAGTAGTAATAAAAGTAACAGTAGTACCAGCAGTAGTAGTAGCAATAGTAATCACAATCACAACAATAGCAGTACTATACAAGTAATGGGCAATTCCACCACAATGGTGGGTGGTAATCAATATACAACTCCAGTTAAAAAATCACAAACATCAGCAGCTGCCAGTGTTGCTTCAACAACAATAGATGAGCATAGCAAAATAACAACAGTACATGTAGCTGGTACTGATAACACATATGGTACATGCTTCACACCGCCCTCATCATCTGCCTCGACATCACTTACGTCCACACCTAAAATGCCTAAAAAAATTATATTATCAGCTAATACGTCCGGAATAACAAATATTACAGTGAATAACACAACAACCAGTGAAGAAATGTCCGCAGCAGTGTTAAGAAAAAATTCCATTGGTGGGAAATTAGAAAATGAATTTGGCATTTCGAGCGCTAACTCGAATTCACCGAATTTAAATAAAAATAATGGACTACATTATGAAAAGGTATTCCTTTCAACTACAGCTACTATAAGCGCAGCTGATGCCTCTGGTAGTGTACAGCCCACATCATCATCTCAAAATATTACACCATTATCACCGAAATGGAGTTCACCACTTCACCGAAATTCAAAACAACGTACTAAAGAGGAAGCAACAGCATTACCATTGGGAAAATCTTTAGCCACTTCAAATGGTGTGGACAAAAAAGTAAAACTACAAAATTCAACAACTAAACAACACAGTGGCGAACAGGGGCATAAATCGCCCACACAAATGCCGCTGCATACAGCTGATCAGCCGATGTCTTCTATCAATATGGGCAGTCCAGCTATGGCTAGAAGAAGATTTGTTTCTCCTACCAACAGCAGACCCATACCAACTGCTGCACCCAGACCTCCATTTATACTAACGAGAGGACTAACAGAAGCTGTCATAACTAGTAGACCTAGTCGAAAAGATTTCCATTTCCTTAATAAACTGTCTGTGGCAAAAACGAAATCCTCAAATACTAATGCTAATTGTAGTAAGTCATCTAATACGGCCAATAATAATGATAATGGTTCTGGTTCTTCCGCATCTACATCAACAACACCCTCACATTTAGCCGTAAATCGTACAACATCTGAAGCCTTAGAACAGCGCAGGCGTAGTTCGTCAACTTCAGATGCTCAGTCACAACGTCATACTCGCGGTACTAATAACAATGATCCCTCTAATCGTGCTAACGTTGGAAGTAGTGGTGGAGGAGGAGGACCTTTACGTCAACCACCACAGCCTTTTCGTTTAGCGGAAAATATTCTTGGTGTTAGTTCTAGTCCAGGTAATACTACATCACCGGCCAAACGTATGACTTTAAGGGAACAACAAGTAATGCAATTGCGACGTGAAATAATGCATCCTGGTGGTGTTCGTTTGCAATTAAGGCGTAAAGATTGTGTAGGTTCTATTGCTTGGGTAGATGCTTTTGGTGCTGTGTGGTAAGTTTTTGTTTAAACGAAAACATGTAAAAGCATGTAATCTTTATTGTTTCCTCGCAAACAGGGTGGCTGGTTGGAAGCAAAAAGAACATCCTGTTTTATATAATGCCTTACATATAGGCGATCAATTGCTGTCAATAGCTGGTGTAACAATAAGTTCAGCAACAGAAGCTAATAAAATTATACGCAATACCAATACACTATTTGTAAGTGGAAGAATATCAAATCTCCCTCCTTAACAGAAATCATATAAAAACGTAATGTGAATTTATTTTAGGTCGAGGTCTTAGTACGACGCATACCATTTGGCCGTGGCTACGCTATACGGCGCGAAAGAGAAGGTCAATGTTTAGGTTTAATACGTGATGGTAATACATCTACAATAGTTGATGTAGTACCAAACAGTTTAGCAGCTAGACATGGTCTACCTCCTAAGGTACATAGCAACTAATGTTATAGATGTGAATGAATATACATAATATTTTTTTTTCATATTTTCCAGGCCCAGTCATGTGATGGTACTACTTTAACATTTTGGGTACTCACAGAAATAAATGGCCGTCCATTAAATTTATTTTTTAAAGATAATGAAATACGCGATCGCTTAAATTCGGTTGGTCGTGATATTTCCATATTGGTGCAGCCGTCAGATTTAATAACAAAACTTAAGAAACAACTTAAATCATTACGCGGCTATAAGGATTATTTGGTGCAATAACCCTAAATTAATTAATAACTTGTAAAGCAAACAAAACAGAAGCTAAAAGCATTCACATTTTAAGACACAATCTCTCATTGGTAAGATTTTTTACTTTTCAATTGTTTTCTTTATGACTCTTTTTTTTTACTAAACATTATCATTCCAATTTTAATAATGCATATTTAAAAGAAAAACTTTATAATGTCTCAAACTAGTTTTCTTATAATGAAAAACTTATATAGTCAGTATATATTAGCTGTAGTGTACTTAATACATTAAAATGTACTACATTTTAGACATACGTACATATAAAAAGTACTTATATACAAACATTTACATATATATTTAGACATTTTGATATATATAAAAAAACACACCATACATATATATTTTTGCAATTACATATTTTATATACACACATACATATTAGTATATAATCTTAGGCATAATATGAAATTTTTTAAAATTTAGGTAATTTTTTCTTCAATCAACTACAAAAAAATACTCAACTCAAATATACATTTTTGCATTTTTGGCATAGTTATTTAAAGAAAAAAACAAATGAAATTATAAAAATGTTTAAACAAAATTTGTTAATTAAATTAAGTAAAAAGCAAATAATTACATACTATTAACTACTTAAAACTTTTTGGCTCGCAAAAAAATGTTAAACAGATATATCAATTTCCCAATTGTTTGTCAAAAACTTACTTATTGTAGCCTTTTTCTAAGTTGTTTACAATAATTATAATTTTTACTTACCCTAATATTTGTAAAAGTGTTCAACAGTCTTATGCATTTTGGGCCAATATTGAAATTTGTGCATTTTTCCATTTACTAAGATATATTCCAAAAACTCAGCCTAAAAATCAATTCGGATTCATATCGAAACTTTATATAGATGTAATCATAAAAATGTTTGATAGCTGATTAGAAAAAGATGATATAGACTGGTAATATGTATGTTGCTGTTACAATGGGGTACAGATTAAATTGCACCATTAGTATTAAGTGATATGACATTAAAGCCAAAATTGATAACTACTCCAACTACTGACCCCCTCACAGATATCTCTATTTCATCGGGTATCAACATCGGCGAAATAATTTCCAAAAAAACACCTAATGTTTGGCCACCACAACGCCGGAGCTAACTATCTCTGTGGCAGACATGTGTTTGTTGAGTTTAGAGGTCAAAAATCAAAATATTACAAGATAAAAATGGGCTTGTCTTGAGAAGGAGTACTATAACCTTTACTTTTCAATCTATAACTTGCCAAGCTTCCTAAACTCCCCACAGATGTCTCTTTGGACAAAGAGACGATTGTAGCCATGTATAAGGCAATTGGTCGCTCTCTTCTCAATTATGCTGCCCCATTCGCAACCGAATGTGTCAAGATGACTAACGTAAATCATTTACATGGTGGGACCAGGTTATTGTCAGCCAGACAGACCCTAACCATCAGGTTCTGATGCAATATATCCTTCCCAGACACATAGGATGGACATTCGATGCTTTCGCATCGACTTCGAAGACATACCATTGAACGTTGACAGGCAAAGAAGAATTAGGATGTTGGAGAAAAGGTGAGTGACAGCATAAGTTATATATCACCAAATAATGTTTATCTGGTGTACAGAGAGGTAGTTCAAAAGATTCAGCAGAATATCGCATTAGGTAAAACTCAAGACACTCCGAAGGGTATATCGTATATATCTCTATATTTTCATTCCTAGAACATCAAGTTTACTGATCACTCAATTACACTTCGTTTTAAAAAGTAGTGAATGGGTATGAGAAACCCGGAAACCCCCTTTATCAAAGAATTCGGTGTTGAACATTTGTTGCATTAAATATTATCACTTATCGGAAATGCCTAATGAATCTGATTAAAACACAACAAATGCAAATTGCCCATATATAATTTTGTTTAATTTTTACTTCCTTATTAATTTTACCATTATGTCTTATTTTAGATAATCAGATGCAATATTATAGTGCCTATTTTTCGAAATAAAAAAATATTTTATTTAATTTAAGTTTAATGTATAATGGATTTGTGTAATTAAACAAATTAAGTTTATAAACGTGATATGATTTTATTTCAGTAGAGCATAAGCATTAAGAAAAGTAATTCCAATGTATTTTAAAATTTTTTGTTTTCATTTTTCAGTTATCCTTTACAAATAAAAAAGACATCATAAAAGAAAATTTATTTATCTAATTGTGTTTTTTTTATTAAGCACACACAGTGTTTTGAACAGCAGTTGCTGTATTTTGTTTCCAAACGCGGAAATTAAACTTATTTGTGTCCAAAGTAGAATAAATAAAAATAGGCATTGAATTAGTCATCACCCACATGGTGCCATCTTCATCAATCTTAAATGGTAAAATAAATAAAGTTAATAAGTTTCAATCTTGTTTGTATTATCTAAAATATTACCGTCAAATCACTTGGATATATCATGGTTTGTTCATTTTGTGCCACTTGACCATGATTAGCTGCGTTAAATGGTTTACGTGTATTCCAGCAACCAACACCATTACGTTGAATTTCAGCATAAAATACTGCACCAGTACGTGGATCATATTCGTGCATTGTCGACTGTTTATTATCACCGCGATAACCCAATAGCCGAAAATCTTGACCATGACTACCACGTTGAGCATTTCTTTCATTTTGTAGCACAGCATTGTTAACTACGAACTCATTATTACTTGCCATGGCATGGAATAAAATATTGCGTGAACCATCTCGTTCTTTTGGTCCCAAACTAACGGAAAAAATACCATCATTCCAGCTGAAAGACTGACCTCCAATGTTCAAATCACCAGCAATTGGATCGAAATTGAAATAATTATGCTCAAATGACCACATTTTGTTTAGCTCATAACTATGGAATGAATAAAATAATTTGTAATTATGCATATTAAAGTTATTCATATATAGATATCTCATTCATATATAACCCCCACACTGAATCGACATTAAAATTAAGCAGGAGTTTCCCTCATGGTAGGATCTAAACTATCTGAACTGATAATCGTATAGTCGATTATGGCGATAAACATAATTAGATGTGGTTTTATGAGGGTCCACCACGCTTTCTTCATTACATCAGCAAAATCGCTCGTTGTCAATTTTTTACCACCACTAATTTTGCTCCAACGTTTGAAAGTCTACCCACATGTCTCAGAAATAATTCACCAAAGTATAAGGTTTTAATCTGTTGACTTTAGTTTAAAAGGGTTGTAAACCCGGAGATCCGAAGGGTTCATTGCTGAAGTGGATTTCCCCTTCAAATAGATGAAGAAGAAAATAGGTATAGAAAGGAAAACATTATGGTCTGTTATCTGAATAGCCAGTCTATTCCGCTGATAAAAACTAGAATGTTGTCTAATTACAACTAGATACATCTCCTAGTTCATCATGGAATTTTTTCTAGTCATTTCAGACTCTGTACTCTAAGCCAGTTGCATAAAATATGCCGTACAGTTTCTACCTCATATTCGTCTTTACACAACATACAAAAATCCTACGTGAGACCGGTTATTACTCCTACTAGATTCCTTTTTTTCTTCCAGTCCAATCCTACTAGCATTTTGGTTGTTTTTGTGTGTATTCTCGGTCATAATGTCTTAGAAGCCCTGCAATCCATTCTACTGTGAAAGCAACAGTATTCAAATTATTGGATATTAGCCTACAGCAGTGACAAATAAAAGGTTTACCGACCTATCCTTACTATTAAGGTCCAGTTCCAAGCACTGTCTGGCAAATTCATCTGCGATCTCGTTACCCGGTATATCACAGTAACCTTGTATCCAACACAAACTTACTCTGTATAACCCAACTAAAACTTCTGGGGCTCTTCTGCAGCTAGTTACTGAAATGAAGGGTGTGACATTTCAAACCTGTACATTGTTCTTCCAAGTCTTCTTCCAAGCAGTCTAGGAAGGTCTCAAGATACTTTTAGACCGATTCACACCCAACCCATTGGCCCATGTTGACAGATCGCATGACTTCAATCATTGTCAGAAGAAAATTACCCTTAATTAGTATCATCACATCATCCGCATAAACGACTAACTTTCTTCCTTAGATAGGCATGTTGAACCTTGCTAATAAGGGGGGTATCAATATCCTGATATAAAGATCTATCATCACTTACAGCACTTTAGAAATAAAAATCTATCTTCTCCCTAATCTCTAGAAAGATATCCCGAAAGGATAAAATATCAGGCGAAATTGGCGTTCACCTCTCAGCCCAATTTACTAGATGAGTAAATCGATTACTATCATTTATATCCATAAAAACAGTGAGATTTACAATTTACTAGATGAGTAAATAGATTACTATCATTTATATCCATAAAAGCAGTGAGAGTAACCCCTAGCTAAACTCTGTCTATGAGATATCTTCACGTTGAATGTAACTTATGTCTTTGGCTTAAATCCGTCGGAACCTAGAAATCTCATTTACGTTGTCAACAGATTTAGTGGTTAACATAAATTTGTCTACTACTTTTATCAAGGGGTAGCAGAATATCGATTACCAAAAGCAAATATTCTCAAGGTTAAGGTAGAATATATGGATAGTTAGGTTCTCCTATTTAATTTACCTGTACACATAAAGTTGATTGCTAACTAAGTCTGGTATATAAGCAAAGGTTCTATCGCATCCTTTATCTGTATCAGGAGTAATGCTAGCTAAACCACGACCTTCGGCAGCCACAGATGCTGGTATTTCAAAACGCCTTATAACTTTATCAGTACGTAAATCAATTATCCAAATTGTGGGTCTTTGAATTTGCATAAAATTATCTAAGGAAAATATACATTAAATTCAATTAGAAAAATACTTTAACACTACTAAACTTACTGGGATACTCCAACATTCCGGTATCAATAAACCACAAACGACCACAAGTATCAACACTTGTGCGGTAGACCGAAACTAAATGATCAGAATTTGACTGAAAGTATATGTATATAAATTAAGATTATGTACTTAGCAGTGATTTTTTTTATTATTACCGTTAACTGGTTAGTTTCAAAATCGGGATACGCTATTAATTTTGGACTTTCTTGTGTACCATCTTTATTTAAATCTATATAATTGAGGGTTGATGGTATGCCAACTCTTCGCCTTGGCATAGTAACAAATAAACGCCCTTTGTAATGTGTTGCTCCCATTGGTACATTATTATAAGGTATATACGAAGCATTGTTATTTACTTGACGCCTACTCCTTGCTCCATGGTATTGACCAGGAAAATATATAATTCCTAAATAGTAAATTATAGAAATTATTAAAAGTACATTCACATATTTAATTTTTTGGTGATATGATGTGTATGATCCAAATTTCCACTTTAGTTATTAAGAAGCTTTATCATAATATGTTTTAAATGTTTTAGAGAAGTGAAATTTACATAAACAAGTTGAATGGACTTTAATAACAAAGTGCATATTTTCATATGCATAAAACATGTATGTGATATGCATATTAAAATTTTAACATTTACGATTTAGTTGTAACTCGGAGCATACATATATTCTACTCTTAAATGCGGTTTATATGAAGTATAAATTGAATCCATAACTTACACGGTTTAATATTAAGTTCGATTCATTATTACGTCCTCCAATTTAATTTAAAAATGTTCATTACAAGATATCGGACTATGATTTTTGATTCTCTACGAATTTTGTAATGGCTCGAAGTTTGCAGAATACTTTCTAAAAATTTCCACAAAAATACCATGTTAATCCAATTTACATACAGTGTCTCTCATAAGTATTCGAATTTAGGTAAACTATGAAAAGAAACCAAATTTAATAATATATTTTGTGTGGAAAATAAATAAATTAATTTGTTATATTGTCTAGATAGTCCTTAGTTTTGATATCACGCCCCTTAAAACTTGAAAACTTTACATTTACTTAAATTAGTTGTGCTTTTTTTAAAAAAAGTCCATGAAACTACTTCACAAAAGTATGCGAATTTTTCCTGTATTTCATATTTGATCATATTATACGATACACAAATTTTAGAATCGCATGGTTTTATGCTTAATATTGTTTTAAGGGGTTACTATCAACCGCATGGATATATTTTTGACCCATTTGGTCCACAATTTTGGGGGATTTGTACCCTCTTTTCATGTAATATCATTAAAATGGCGATTTTTGGCTATATTTGTAATGTTTTCACCCTTTTTCCAGAGATAAAACCAAAATTTAATATTGGAATTTAATAGAACCCATAGGGTATCTAAAAATAATATTTTTTGTTATAAGGATCTGTACTTAAAAGTTCCAAGATATATTTTTGGTATCGTTTTTCAGTTTCTAATTGAATTATCTGGATCATAATTCCCTTTTCGTACCTCTAGGCACGATATTTTCCGACAAAGTTGTCTAGTGTATATTGATGTACATATTGGCACTAATGTATTTTAAATTTTCAATTTATTATAGCGGTATACAACCCCAAAACATGCCTTAACAAAACGTCATCCTACATAGTAGATTTCAGTTTTTACTACTCGTAACTTTCACGCTTATGTTGCCCGTTACAATAACACTGTAAGTCCTAAATTTTGGTTTTAATTTGATCATAGTAAATAATATTTAAACACATATCAACATTTTTGATGTGATCATAATGATATCGTGCCATGCAGCATGGAGGCCATTGGTATATAAAAATAATGATTTTACTATTTTGAATGGTGCTTCTTCGAGGCATGTTTTGGAGTTGTACACTTCCACAACACATTGAAAACTTAAAATGTATAAAAGCTTATATCTAAAAGAATATATACCAGAAAACTTTCCCGGAAAATA